TAACTTTGTCTTCGACTACGTCTCCGTTTCCTACATATCTCTCTCTCTCTTTCTCTCACCCAATTTGCTCAGAGAAAATGGACGCCATAGATTCAGTAGTGGATCCGCTCAGAGAGTTCTCCAAGGACAGCATTCGGCTGGTCAAGAGGTGCCACAAGCCGGATCGCAAAGGTAACTTTATACGTATAAATATTCAGATCTGTATCTTTCCAGATCGGGTTTAATGGAAATTAGGGTTTTCGATTTTGTTATCTGTAATTGATGGATTTGATGATCAATTGTGGTGCAGAGTTCACGAAGGTCGCGCTCCGTACAGCGATCGGGTTCGTGGTGATGGGATTCGTTGGGTTTTTCGTGAAGCTGATCTTCATCCCCATCAACAACATCATTGTTGGATCTGTTTAGGTATGGAATTATATCTGAATCTTCGTCTGATCGAATTCATTGATTGAATTATTGAGATTAATTTGCATGCATTTGATATCTGCTTGATTTTTTGTCCGTAATTTTACCAAGAATTTTTTAATGATGTTTAGTTTGTAAATACGAGTCTTTGAATATTAGGACTCAGATCAATTTGTCTTGGGCAAGTGCTTGCAAAATTGAATGTCAAATCGTGTTTTTTGTTCAATTTTATGAACGAATCCAAAATATGGAGCTGGCATATACAATATGTTTCAAAGGGTCTCTAATATCGAAATTCTTATCAAGTTTTGGTTGAGCTTTTTGGCGCATGGGTTTGAACTTTTGAGTGTTTCACCACATTATGAGTAATTCTAGGGTTTGGGGTAATTGGCCATTGGTTTTGCATATGTAGATGAGGGGATGTTGTAATAGGAAGATTTTCTTCTTGTGGCATGATCGAGAAGTTTGAGTTCTGGTTTTACCATGTTGTGGTGTATTCTACTGCCTCATGTGTATATCATAGAGTTGGATATCAAACCCAGGGCAGTTAACTCAAGCATTGATTACATGTGCAACCAAACTTGTCCAATATCCATTCGACTTGAACGATTTTCGTTAGTTAAATATTTTGATTTAGTAATGTCTATTGATATTAGTGTCATTTTAATACAGTTTTTTAGATAGTAGTGTTTTAATAACTAGTTCTTATCTTTGGTTGTAGAGTAAGATGTGGATTGTTGACTGATTTTTCTTTTTTATATAATTGCAGGTCATGTGCTGAAGTTAGAATGATGATAGGTGCTGCAACTTGAATTCACTAAGAAAGCAGTAGCTTTTAGTTCTCATTTGGTTCCTTTTGAGATACGTTTGCTTTATTTCTGTAAAACCATGATACATGCACTTTCGAGTTTTCCATAATTGAGACCTCATCTTTTTTCGTTCAATTTAAATTTTGATGCCCTGGATTTGGTTTACCAACTTTTCGTGGCACTCTTTAACCAACAAAGAGCAGCCACGGTGATAATGGCCAAAACGATATTGAAATGCTGAATTTGATGGGCTGTGTCGATTAAGCTTATGCATGTTAATCAAATTAGCAGGCACCATGTATCTCCCATCTTCAAGAACCAACCGGTTCTCTGGGCGGTAGAACTGGGGGGCTGCTCCAAGTTCTGCTTTAGTTTGCATGATCTTCATGGTTGTATTTGCTACCAAATGTCCAGGATCCAATAGAACTAGGGCTGTTCTGAGTTTTGCTTGAGTTTGCAAGATCTTTATGGTTGTAGAACTGGGGCTGCTCCAAGTACATTTTGTTATTGACATGTTATGATAATGAATTGATAACAGGTACATTCTGTTATTGTCAATGATAATACGATATCAACAATCTATCCGTTAAATAATAAAAACTGAGTCATTTAGATCCATATAAATAGCTTCATTGCATCACCCTCTTAGCTTCCTCTCTTCAGCAAAAGGTCACAAAGAAATCAGTTTCCCTGTGTTAAGATCCTGAAGGATAGAGTGGGATTGATGGTTCGAGGATTTGGCATACAAGTAAAAGCCAGAACGAGAAATATTTGTGTGCCCGGATAGCACTATTTTGTTATTCCAGCCAATCACGCTAATTACTTTTCTCACTTCGCATAGCGTGATTGGCCTAATTCATCATGCTCTAATAGCAACCCTTTGAATATACTTTTAAAAGTACTGGTCTTATTTTATTCTTTCCTTTCCTGGGTAGAAGACAACCCTTTGGTTCAGGGACGGATCTACAGATGAGTGATATGTAAAACCCATATGGAACAACAATGTAAAGGACGATAGGAACAAGAAGCATATTCTGTTTTAATTGAAGGGCTTGAAAAACAATGTAAAGGACGATTGGTATAGAGGGACTGGCCCTTGGATGTGTGGTCAAGTGACCCCTGCAACCTATGAAATCTGCTATTGAAGGGGAGAAAATTGACCCCTGCAAAGTGGTTGATGAAAGTCCCCAAAGGGGTGCAGACTGTTGCTCCAGTTTTATATTAAAAAAAAGGGCGCAGACTCTGTTTAAACAGACAGCCCGATACCTCCCCTCCCTCAAATCAGTTTTAGCTCTTTTTTTTTTTCCAAATGTCAAACCCTAAATCCCCAAACCACCGGTGCACTTATGATGCATTCTTGAGCTTCAGGGGCACAGATACACGCAAGGGATTTACTGATCACCTCTACAGGGCTTTGGAGGTGGCAGGGATCCACACTTTTAGAGATGATGACGAAATCGAGAGAGGAGCAAATATTTCAGCAGAGCTTCAAAAAGCAATACAAGAGTCTCGAGTATCCATCATTGTCTTCTCCAAGGACTACGCTTCCTCGAGATGGTGCCTGGATGAACTAGTGACGATCATGGATCGTAGAGAAACTAATGAGCACATGGTTATGCCGATTTTCTATGATGTGGATCCATCCCATGTCAGGAACCAGACAGGAATTTTTGAAGAAGCATTTGCCAGACACCAACAGCGCTTCAACAAGGAGATGGACAAGGTGGAGAAGTGGAGAAAAGCTCTCTTTTTCTTTTATCTCATGGAGTTGTTAGATGGCAGCACTTCTGTTTTGAAAGTTGATTTACTTAATATCATTCATTTCAACCTATGATATAAATATCAATTCTCTTCTATAAAATAATAATAAAAATAATAAAGAAATAAGTTTCTTTTTGTTGAAAAGAAATAACTTATTGTGCCTTGTGTATTTTGATATCAATAATTTATAGGTACGAGTCGCAGTTTATCCAAGAAATAGTTGAAGTTATTGGAAATAAACTGGATCACACATGGAATAGGAGATTAAGAGTCGATCCCTATGTAGTTGGAATAGATTATCGTGTGAAAGGCCTAAACATGTGGTTAGAAGATGGATCAAGTGATGTTGGAGTAGCTGTAGTCTATGGGATGGGTGGAATTGGCAAGACCACCATTGCCAAGATTGCTTATAACCAGAATTTCAATAAATTTCAAGGTAGCAGCTTTCTTGCAGATATTAGAGCAACTTCGAAACTTCCCAATGGTTTGGTTCACTTGCAAAGGAACCTTCTTTCAGATCTCCAAAAGGGGAAAGCAAAGAAAATATACAACTTGGATGAAGGAATTACAAAGATCAAACGGGCGATACGTTGCAAAAGAGTTCTTATTGCTCTTGATGATGTGGACAACTTGGAACAATTCAATGCAATTCTTGGAATGCGAGAATGGCTTCATCCAGGAAGTAAAATAATCATAACAACTAGACATGAACATTTGTTAAAGGCTCATGAGAATTGTGCAATATTTAAGGTGGAAGGGTTGCATGAGTATGAATCACTTGAGCTTTTCAGTTGGCATGCCTTTGGACAACCCCATCCTGGCGAAGGTTACATGGATTTTTCAAGACCTGTAGTGCAACACTGTGGAGGGGTTCCATTAGCTCTTCAAGTTCTAGGATCTTCTCTCTTTGGAAAAGCTGCAGATGTATGGAAAAATGCATTACAGAACTTGGATGTGATTACTGAAGGAAAAATTCAAA